ATGAATTTGAACTGTACCCAGACCTCGATAACTTTGCGCGTAATCTCCGCCTCCGTGAATACTTTCATGATCGCAAGATCTGTACGGACGAGAATAGAGTGATTGGTGGTGACAAATCGTGGTGTCCGGGTGGGCAGAGGGACAAACACCTCGATATGTATATATCAGCAGTTCAAAAAGATATCATCAGAGCGTATGAAAAAAATCGGCCATTTCGAAACAACATATCAAAGTCAGAACGAAGGGCACTCGATGAACTACGAAAAAACACTGAAATTACTACCAAAGCGGCTGATAAAGGGGGCTGCATAGTAATTCTAAACACGTTGGACTACTTAAAGGAAGGGGAACGACAGCTATCAGACACAAAATTCTACAAAGAACTTCCAACTGACCCGACTCCCGAATTTAAAAGGGAGATAAAAGTAACCCTAAACAATCTCCACCGGGACGAGAAAATTACCGGCAAAATGTTAAAAGCAATGTTACCGGCCCATTCTGTACGCGGTCGATTATATTTGCTCCCCAAAATACACAAGGCAGGTAATCCGGGAAGTCCGATAGTATCCAGTAACAGCACATCAACAGAAAATATATCAGAATTCATCAATTTCTTAATAAAAAACATCCCCCCAAATTTTTCCTATTACCTAAAGGACACAAACCACTTCATCTGCGAACCTTCAAGTCTCGACATCCCAGGAGGCAGTTTTCTGGTGACCATGGTAGTCTGCTCACTGTACACCAACATACCCCACCATGACGGAATAGCGGCTATGGTTTCTGAATATGTAAAACCTGCCTCATCAACTAGTGTAAGTGGCGAGGTACTGTTTACACTTCTTGAACTTGTACTAAATTATAACCTATTTGAATTCAATTGCAAGGATTTCCTTCAGGTCAGTGGCACTGAAATGGGCACGAAAATGGCCCCAAACTTTGCGAGCACCTTTATGGCTTCACTTGAAATCCCATTCATTCAGGGACGCACCTTGAAACCTTTCTTCTACAGAAGACACTTAGACGATATTTTTATGATATGAAACCATGATGAGAGAAGTCTTTTCCCCTTCATAGAGAATTTTAACAAGTGCCACCCGTCAATAAAATTCACGCACAAAATTTCCAAAACTAGCATTAACTTTTTGGACGTCACTGTCACGGTCGAAAATGACCACTTGTCAACAAACCTTTACAAAAAGTCTACAGACCGTCAAATGTACCTACATTTCAACAGCAGCCACCCAGAGCATTGCAAAACGGGTATTCCATATTCTCAGGCCTACCGGTACCGAAGAATATGCACCGATATGCGGGAATTTGACAGACACCTGGAACACCTAAAGCATTCTTTATTGACACAAAATTATCCGGAAGACATTATTGACGATGCCATACTACGTGCTCGCAACGTGAACCGGAACGATAATATTAAGGGAACAAACGGAGTATCTAAAACGACTTCCCAAACGAACCTTGTACTAACTTACTCCTCATCAGCGCCTCGAATCAACAACATACTGTCCGGCCATTTCAACATAATCAGGCAAAGCAAACGATTAACTTCTCTCTTCGCGAAGCCACCTCACGTGGTGTACCGCCGGGATTAAAATCTGAAGGACATTCTTGTAAGAGCAAAAACAACCACCCCCGAATTTCAATCAGGGTGCCGTCCCTGCGGAAAAGCTCGATGCAAGGTATACCCACAGATGGTCTCAACACGTGAATCCAAAGCGAACTTCTCGGATTTCAAAGTCTGCATAACTGAAAGCCTCAATTGTGACTCCAGTAACGTAATATACATGCTACATTGCAACATCTGCGGACAAGGATATATCGGCCAAAAAGACACGCCATTTTGGCTGCGGTTCAACAATCACCGGTACCACGCCACTTCACTGCCGAAGCTACCTTTATCTAGACATCTGCGCCTGCCAAACCACAGTTTTGAAAATATCAGCGTAACTCTTTTGCAGTCCGGTTTCTCAAACAGACGCGAGCGCGAACAGCGTGAGGCATATTTGATTTTCAAATTTTGAACACTAGTAGCCGGCATCAACGAGGACCCCAGTAAACTCAACTGCCTCCGAGAAGTAAGCCAGGAGGAAATTGGTGACAAAGATTGATAGCTGGAGACCATGCTTTTTTCTGACTGACTCGTACGTGTACACTGTCCATTCTTTTTTTTCTTCATTCATTTTTTCTTTTCTTCCTTTTTCCACATGCACATACAAAGTGTTTTCGTTGGCCTACCACTTGATGACCATTGAGGGGAAACGGACGAAGATTAAAGGTAAAAAGAGCCGACCGACCCATCAACGGGAGACCCTTCTTTTACGCACGCCGCATGCCGACCGACCCATTACGGGGAAAACCTTTCGTTACGCACGCCGTCACAACCCTCCGGGCACCGTGACGACAATCTTGGGTGGCCCGACACACGTCGAGAACTGAACAGCACGTGATAAGAAACTTATGTGGACGTACACGGACAGTTGGTTTCGTTCTCAGTGTTGACAGTGGTTCTTCCTCTTTTTTACTTTCTTTCTTTTCTTTCTATTTCTTCTTTCCCCCTTTTTTTCCTAGTTCCCTCTTACTCTCGCAAACATGTTTCAAGGCGAGAGGGACGCGGCAGGAACGAAGTTTGGAAATTCATGTCAGTATAACTCATCCCCTGATGAAGGGAGGACCCCTGCCGAAACTGTTGGGAAATAAGTATATTTATCCTTGTTGACAACGCTCCCGTTGTGCCATATCCCATACCTTCACAAAGACTAACTGGCCCATTGAATTATTACTCCCACTATATATATATATATATATATATATATCTGTGTGTGTGTGTGTGTGTGTGTGTGTGTGAAAATGGAAGAAAGAAAAAGTCAGAAAAAGGGCTCTGGTGCGTGGAATCTAACGTGGAACCTCTTCGATGTGAATGCGAGGGTTCAATCACTGAGCCATCAATAGGTACCTTCTTCACCGTTCTAATAGAGAGCTGTTCATATCTGCCACTTACCAGTGTCGGTGGGCATTTCGGGAGGGAACGATCGTGTTTTCAGCATTACCAGCAAGATGGCGCAATTAGCGCGCTGCGGCTCTTACCTTTCCCGCGTACTTTGGCGCGCGGAGAGGAGGGGAGTTGATGATCTCTCGGCGCTCTTATTTATTAATTATGAGGAGTGTCATACGTCATGGCTAGCGTTCGGCTTGCCCTAGAACGATTCCGTTGTACTTACGAGGCACACAAACACACAAAGGTCCCTGCAATCATAGCACAGCCTCCGTTTGCGAAAAGGGCGTACTTTTCAGACACACCAAAGTAACAACTGAGACGCTTATTCTCGTTCATCTGTACTTGTTAGTACGTTTCGTGCGACATTTGTGCGTGCGAAACGCGGGAGACGTTTAAATGTACTTGCCATTCTGCGCGTGACCGTCCAATTCGTTGCTATCAAGTTGATTGCTTCGCCTTTGCGGCAAAGCTGACACTTTTTTTCAGATTGTTCTTTCAATTTATCCAAACGTACAAAGCCGCATGACGTACAGAGACGGTGACGAACAAACCACCACCCAACTCTGGTGCTGCAGGAAGGCATATTCGTTGCACAATAAAAGATGACGCATGTGAGCTTTTACGCACGATAACAGGCAAGAGGACAGTATTAGGCAAGAGGACACTGCAGTAAAGGACTGCACCATTACCCGCTAAAAGGAACCATGTGTACGTGCAAAGCACGGGTCCTTAACATCTAGTCTGGTCGACGCGTTGATGCCGGTGGCAATCATGGCATTGCGCAAGAGCGAAACCAAAGAAGGCGCAAAGCACGCAGTGATGAATCGCTGTCTCTACAAGAATATGCCTAACGCTGGTAATGGGCAACGAGAGACAGAAGACTCCAATAGGACACAAATACCGGCAGTCCACATTTACTTAACGCGCAAGCGGCGAATTTTTATTGTTCAACAATTCACAGGAGAAATATCCCACTGGCACTCTTGGAGACGAAGATCTAGTGCTTATATATGCGGGGTGGCCAGCGAACAGTTTCACAGCGCAAAAAGTCGGTTTTTTTTTTTCATTAAGAGACTCGCTAGCAGACGTCGCCTGCTGCGGCGTTGCGAAGCTAGAGAGGAGGCGCGTCGGAGAGCAGAGAGAGGGCGGGAGGGAACGCACTTCCGCGAATAAGGTGTGAACGGCCCTAAGAGGGATGCCTGGAGCAGAGAGAGGGAGGAGCAAACATAGGATAGCAGACTCTGCCTGCGTCGGCGTTGCAAGGCGAGCGAGAGGAAGAGCCTAGTGAGAAAAAAAAGCGGAAGGGGCTCGCGTGCGCAATAGGGGTAGTCACGCTGCACACCAGATTGAGCTTGCCCATAAAATTCTGCGCACCTAAGACAGTTCGCTTGAGGACTTCATGTTTACTGGCGTGATTTCTTTGCATCTCTAATCCATTTTCAAGAGCCCAAGCGGGACAGTTCAGGAATTGAAATAGAAAATTTAATGTCCTAGGCTCACTGTCTGGGAAGGCTCTTACAGTGTCATCAAGTTTGACTTACGCCCAAGCACATCACACAACGTGGTTCCATGGAGGGTGAAAGCATCAAAAATGTGTGCAGTTGCGGCCGTCGAGGCACACAGAACTGGTCATCTGCGCAATGTGGCATGTTTTCGCAGACTTCTATGAATAGAGAAACTGGCATACCTGCTTAGTTTATTTTGATTTGAAGAACATGCCAGCATGATATATGTTCTTTACATTACGTGACGTTACACTTTCGTTTTCTTCCCTTTTCCCTCCCGCCATGTAGATTAGCAAACCGAGTACAATCTGTTTACCCACCCGGCCTTTCCTTCGCCCTTCTCTATCTTTCTCTCTTCGGTTTTCTTTTTGCAATTGTTTATCAAATACCCCGCGTGTAGTGAAACGTTCTGCAATATTATTTCGTAAGTTTTTAACTGCAATCCATAAATCTCCTCTGAACAAGAAATTCAGGACACGGGATGTTTTAACTTGTTGTTTTATGTTCATTATTGAAATCGGAAGAATATTGTCCTTCGGTTGCGATGCATGTCACAGGCAGCGTCGGTTTTGACCTATCCATTGGCCTTCGTGGCACGTGGCGGTAGGCATGCCAATAAGAACCTTGCCTCCCTGGCAGCGGTAGGTAATGCGTTGGCCCGTCTCATACCAGTCCTTGTCGGGACTCAAAGAGAACTCCTCTGGAATGACCGGTCGCAGGCAGGATCCTTTCAGCAGCGAGAAACCATCTGCGTGGAAAAGGCGCAAATTGTGTGCGAACGTTGCAAACTGAAAAGGCCGTGTTCGAAATTTCAAGGGAAACTACAATACTTAAGATACTTCTACAGGGTTAGTAGCACAGGCATCACTTTTGCCTTTGCTACTACCATTACAGAGATGTGCTAGGGTATTATGAGAAGTAAACTTTTACGGCATTTTTTTTGTCCACAGAATAAAATTTAATATGCCGAGTGGTTTAACTATCTAAAACGGTACAAGCGCAGATACCAAGAAATATAACGGTACGTTCATCACGTGATTGACTGAGATTCCTCATAAAATAGATTCCTTCGAATGGGGTGAGGAGAAATGAGCAGTGCGATATTGCTACTACGTTATTAAAGATGATATCAAAGATGTTCTCTTTCTTGAGAGATCTCGACGCTGAAAATTTGCTCTTTCTTTCTGTATGTGTGCGTGTGTCTTTCCTGCTTTTCTGTCTGTCACCCGTTTCACCCTCTTTCAAGCGACCAGCCATCTTGATCCGCTTGTTGCGTTCATAGGTGCTGACATTGTCAATTCAAAACAAGGTATTACGAATATTTTGGCGCAACATCAGTACGGGGTGCGTAGGTAGTCTGTTACTCTGTTACAATATTTTTAATACATAGATACGTGATTATAAAAACCGCAGTACTTATTGCGCAGCGCTGGCAATGCGACGCTAAGATAAAAGACAAACGAGTATTTCCTTCATTTCACGAAATCTACTTGGTACACGCACATACTAGTGAGTTTGCGGGGTACAAAAACTTCGTTGCTTCAAATTACTGCTGCATGGCGTCCATAATTCACGCAATGCCTACATGCTAGTTTTTTCGCGCAGACCGTGAAATAAACCTTTTATTCTCTCTCTCCATGCAGAAGACCGTTGTCTTTCGACGACCTTTGCCAGCGGAGCATGCAGATACGCCACCACTTTTTGTCACTGCTATCACTTTGGCATTTTTGCGTTTTAGCGGTAACCGTGATTGACGTAGCGTTGTTCTTAGGCGTGTGAGGGGTCCCCAATCAGGAGGAAGGGAGCGAAGGCCCTTCACAGCACACTCCTCTCTCACTAAGTCGAGGTGTGGGGCAGGCAGGCGGCCGCCATCTGCCATGCCTCCAGCCCATACGCGCGCTTATGGTTGTGATACATTCTGCAGGAACATCCATATCGGCCTCTCTCCAGCTCCCCGGAGTTCCGGGAATCCTTGAAGAAGTTTTGTGTGCTCGTAAATAAGAATACTACTTGGTAATGACTAATGCTTTTATTATGCCACAAATAAACTGAAAAATATTTTCTTACGGTTGTCGCAAGCGAGCAAACGCTGAAATAATGCTAGCCATTATGTTTCATTATGTTTCATTACGAAAGAAGTAGCGCTTGAAGAGACCAGATTTACGCCGATGTCAAAGTCAATACTATATGCTTGGTTTTGCTACCAAATAATTTAGTAGTTATATACTACTAAATAAGTTACCGAATAAGTTAGATTGAGAGGTGACGAGTTAGTGCTACCAAAGAAGTTAGTTTGAAAGGTGACGTTGGAAGATGGCATAATGGACCACAGGCTTATCTGTCTTGATCTGCCTGTCCGAGCACTGCGACATGCGAAGAGCCATGTACCAGTAAAAATTTAAGACTATGCCATAAGGACAACGATATTTTAATTCTTCAATATTTGGACACCCCATTTCCAAATTCCTAGCGCACCTTTGGTTCAAAATATATTGAGGAGTTATGGCCAGAATTTTATTGGGTTGAAAAATAACGCATAAATGAATATGCCTCATCGTGTAAAAAAATAAAAAAAAGTCCACGGATCACCCGAGATATAATTCAAATGAAAAGAAAATTACGAGATGGCCTCGATTGAGCGAGTCGCCCGTCGTTCTGACAAATCAAAAAAACTGAACTCAAGCATACCCTGGCTAAGGCTGGAAAAATATTCTTTGAAATATATTTCAGTGACTTCCTCAGATTTCGAGTTCAGATTTCTAGGCGGTACTTTAGGGACAGGAAATAAATGGCTGATCAAATATAATGTTGGTATTGTGATTACAGAAAAAAAGGATGAGATCTCAAACCACATTAACACAATTCTGCAGTCTGTATTCAACCTCTCAAAAGCTACAGTCCGTACGGATGAAGATAGCAGAATTCCAGCTACTGTCCGAATAGAAAAACTTGAAATATCAAGAGCAGAGGAATTCAAACAACTAATCAATTTAGAAACGAAAAAATCTAGTGGTCCCGTCGACATATGAACTGTACTTTTGAAGTGATATGTGGAATGGGCGCCACCTAATTTAACTACCATCTTTCCAAAATTATATACAACGCACTCACTGCCACAAGATTGGTGCATCACTTTCGTAATTCTTGCATTTAAGGAAGGAAACCGAAAAGAGGCCACAAGTTACCGTACAAAGTCACTTACTTCACTCCCTCGCAATGTGTTCGAGCATATAATAGCAAAACATACAAAACATATACTCAGGTTTCTTGATCAGATAACTTTCCTGTACCCTTTCCAACATAGTTTCAGGACACGGCTATCAACTCTGACACATTTAACAGAAAGAGTTAATGATTTTTAGGCTGCTGTAGATATAAGGCAAGAGCTTAACGTGGTTTGTGTAGATTTTACGAAAGCATTTGAAGGAGTAGCCTATGGCCCATAAATCTTCAAATTACGTAATGCAAGAATAAACAAACTCGTAATAAAACGGACTGAAGGATATTTAATCAACCGTACGCGGATAGTCAAACCGGATGAACATTTATTAGATACTTTAGTTTTATTTGCAGGAGTGCCACAAGGCTCTGTATTCGGACCACTATTGGTTCTCATGCATGTCTTATATCAATAGCATAGCAGAAGAGGGCATACTGGAAAACCATCTCAAAGCTCAGAATCGTTTGCTAAATTTAAATAACTGGTGTGGAAAAAGCAAGATGACGATAAATTATTCCGAATCTGCATATGCACACATCACCAAAAAGAAAGCTAATCGTTCCTTTTTGCACAGCATTATTAGACACTTGTTGGTATGTGCGCACCAGTTTAGCTGGGTCACGGTGGCGATTACATGAAAACTAACATAGAATGACTATACAAATAACGTCTGCATGAAAGTCCATTGGAAGTTATATATACATTGAGGACAAACTGAAACATGCATCGTGTTACGTAAAATACATTGCATATACCACCTTCGTTAGGACTATACAATAATTTTCAGGTGTTGTTTGGAATCCCCATAACGTAACCATTAAGATAAAGCTGGGAAGAATGCAGAGACTAACGGTGAATTTTATTTGTGAAATATACCAAAAGAATCGGTATCAGTCACGCTGATGTTGTGGAAACGCAACATAAATTCTCCTGAACAACGTAGAAAGAAATTTAGGATGGATGTATTTCTTTAGGTAATGTACGAACAAAAGATTGATAAGCTGAAACATTTTCATACACTAGGCGAAGAATGCTAAATACTGCTAAGTATTACTATTCTTTAATATAATAGATATAATTCTTCTGTATTATGCAGTTATAAGCGTACTTTACAAAAATATGTCATTGTATTGTCCTCTTTGTTATGAGCCTCCATGAGTGTTGGCTTTATTACTAAATAAATAAATTACAACGGTGCTAGATCAGACAAGAACAATAAAGAACACGACAAACTTGTGTCCTTCATTGTCGTTATCTGTTCTCAGAGTTGTTGTTCTTGCATATATAATTAGTACTAACTAGCCAATATTTCTGGTCCAGTGATATATAGCAGCATTTTCGTATTCTGTTACGTCTGCCGGGCTGTGTGCTTTGACTGGCCATGCGCTGACAAAACAAAATGACCCGCTGTTCTTCACCTATTATGCCCGGTGTGAGAAATGTCTTTCCTACGTTTCACTGATTATTGACGTCCAACATAACGGTACCATCTGCTGCTAGGTGTCAAACATTATCTTAGAATGAAAAACCTACCTACCATCCTGTAGAGCGCTGCGGCGCCGTGTATATTATTAATACAGGCAACATTGAAAGCCAGTTAGAACAGCACATCAACAATGAAAAAAGAGGTATATTTTGTCACAATGGTGAATACATCACTGCAATAGCAGCAAGCAAACCGGAATCTTATATGAATAGAGTTTTCCCGCTTGCGCCTTTAGCATGCAACCGAGAGTAACTTTCAAACGCTAAAGGTAAGCTGCGTTCAGTCTGTACTCGCATCCGTCATAAGTGGAGTATCACGTAACGACTAAAACATTCGTTTGCGTAGCGAGTGACCACGTAAGTTCACAATGATCTTTTCGCTAGCACACGTTTTTTTTTTGTATAAACGTGCAACGTGTTTTTTGTATCATCGAGTAGCAGCGGGCTTGCTCTGCGCGTGTTTCTCTCTGACAAGGCTTCGCGCAACTTGGCACTAACATTAAATTGTATGTGTCTAACTTTCGAAAACTGGTCTTTATAGTTAGTGCACAATTTCCAGTTTTTCTTGTTTTCTTCGGTTTGCAGCCAAGAAATCAATCTACCTAATAAAACATTGCACGTCCGCCATCCTCCGATTTCTTGTGATTGTCAGTTTACTGTCACTCTATATGACGAAGTAGTGAGTAGTGACTGAACCAACCAATATGTGTTTTTGCACTGCGTGGGTGCCATTTTTATTGTTATGGGGCATATTTACTCTCGGTGTCACCGCCAGCTGAGGATAACCCACAGTTGCGTCCTCTAAAAATATGACTGGCATGAAAAATACTCGCCTATTTCCTGACACTTCGACAGCTCTGACCAACGACCGCTTCCCAGGCAAGTGCTTTCATTGGGCCCATGTAGTTCATATCCTAAGGAGCAGCGGAATCGAGCTGTGCTTCCCACAACGGCCCCTCCTGCAGAGGGTATGTCCACGTGACCATTCTCAGGGGCGATGGGTGCTTGACAGGTCACATCTGCAAATGGGAAAAACGCTATGGGTTAATTGTTTCTTAAGGAACTCATTATTTATCATCACACCATTCATTAAGATTTTCACCATTTTCACCATTCATTAAGACTTTCACACCATTCATTACGTTTCATTATGATTAAGTTGCATCCCTGCTATAGCAAGCTTCGCTAGACACAACTTACTTCAAGTGAAGCCACTCGTCACCTGGGTCGTAAATTGCGAATGAACGGGCATGACTCTTGGATGCTTCGACGACAATTATTTGTTCGAACTATCGAACCCGCTAATGGCGTAGAAATGGATCAATTTCAAAACAGAAGTTTGAGCCTTTCCTCGTACTTTCGGAAGGGGCAGGCTTGCAGAAAGGACTAGAGTATCATGCACACATTGGTACATAACAGGTAATCACGGGGAAGTTTGCGGCTAGGCTTGAGTTGTGCGCGCAGGTGAATCCAGACTGACCATAGTACGTTACCTGCATTGTCGAAAAATACCGTATCCATACAGTACAACAACAGGTGATCTCTTGATGCCAGGGTGTTCCCGGTTGACGGATAGAACACTATCGCAGCAATAGCTGCTTTCAAACACAAGCGACCCCGTATATCAACACCGAACAAAGTAGTACATTCGAATTTTGATATCTGGGGTCTAACGTTCCAAAACCACCATATGATTATGAGAGATGCCGTAGTGGAGGGCTCCGGAAATTTTGACCTCCTGGGGTTCTTTAACGTGCACCCAAATTTCAGCACACAGGCCTACCATCGGAAATGAACTCGCCGCCACCGAGATTAAATGCCGCGACCTGCAGTTCCAATCGAAGTTTATTGCTGCAACAGTGAAATCGCGGTGGTACGGGTGCTTGCAAATAGTAGAATTTAATGGCAAATGGACCAAACTAAATCACAATAATCTTTACCACTTATCATGTCCGCTAGCAAAATTCTGTCATTTGGTAACCGTGGAGGTACGCTGCAGGATGCAGCAGTTACGCTACTTCTTTCTTTCTTTCTCTCTTTCTTTCTTTCTTTTTTTATTTCTCTTTATGTCCCAGAATAAAACGAAAACATAACATTCTGGATGGCCTCCTGGGCTAAACGCTGCAATTAAACAGCTTGACTGGGGGTCCAGAAGATTTGTGCGGCTTCAGTCCCGCGGATAGCTCATGTAAATGTACGAAATTTTCCGTACAGGGATCATGGCACGTGCCTTTGAATCATTGCTCACTGCGATGACGGTGTAGCCGAGCCGTGATTTCAATTAGGAAGCCGAACACCTAAAATTGTTGTTACGGAGTCGGTGACTTCTGTACAAAATGTTGTTACAGAGGAAAAGCCACCGGCAAGAGTCACAATGACTGATTGGCAAGCTCGCGCACCCCCTCAGCTGATTGGGTCCTTCCTCTTCCTTTACTTCCTTTCCGTAACAGGACCCCCGGGCGCTGCAGCGCAGTCTCGGTGCGAGTCCGGAGAAGTGCGACAGAAGTAGGTCTTTAGGCGCGAAACATGGACAATGTCAGCAAGCGACGAAATTGGTGACGTATTGGAGTGAAATGGCGCTATCTCGTAGTTGACGTCGCAAACCTGACGTAAAACTCCATAGGGTCCTGCGTATCGGGGCAAACGTTTTCCGGAGAGACCTACACAGCGACACGGTGACCAGAGGAGCACGCTGTCACCTGGGGCAAGCGTTATATTACGATCCCGATGGTTGTAGCGGGCTTTTTGCATATCCTGTGACCTGGTGAGATGAGACTGGACAAGTTTACAAGCCCTGTGAGCCTGATCAATGACTTCGCGAGCGCACTCGGAAGCAGATGGCTTCAGAGTTAGGGTGGTTTTAAATGGCAATATGGGATCGCGACCATACAACAGATAAAAAGTTGAGAATCCCGTGCTGTCATGTCGAGAGGAATTATATACGAAAGTCAAATAGGCCATGGTGGTGTCCCAGTCACGATGATCTTCGGAGATGTACGTCGAAAGCATCTCTGTGAGCGTGCGGTTGAGTCGTTCAGTTAGGCCATTAGTTTGCTGATGGTAGGCGGTAGATAGCTTATGCACTGTAGCACACGATCGAAGGAGGTCGTCGACAACTTTGGACAAGAAAGAGTGGCCGCGGCCCGTAAGCAGCTGTCGAGGTGCACCGTGGTGTAAGATGACGTCATGAAGAAGAAAATCCCCTGACGTCTGTGGCGCAACTGGTTGGCATGGCCTTTGTTATCGTATAACGGGTCGCATAATCTGTTGTGACGGCGATCCATTTATTTCCCTGTATCGTCGTCGAAAAAGGGCCAAGAAGTTCGAGTCCCACGCGATGAAATGGTTCAGAGGAGACTTCGATTGGGTGAAGATATCCAGCTGGCAGCACAAGAGGTGTTTCCAGGCGCTGGCAGAGGCCGCAAGTGGGGACATATCGACGCACGCTGCGGTAAAGTCCTGGACAGAAAAAGGGACGTCGCATGCAGTCGTATGCGCGGGAAACGCTGAGGTGTCTCGCTGTTGGTGCGTCGTGAAGTTGTTGAAGTACGCAGGCTGTAGATGACGAGGAATGACAAGCAGAAGCTCATGGCCTTCGGTGCTGACGTTGCTGCGGTAAAGGGTGCTGACATGAAGCACGAACGTAGGGGATTCAGCGTCATGGCTGTCAGACTGGATGGCGTCGATTATAATGCGCACTGACTCATCCCGCCGTTGTTAAATGCGCATATCGCCGATATCAGTAAACGCCATTACGCTGCTCTCCAGGTCAGTCGTAACGTCATCAGGAGGATCCACCGGATAACTAGGACAGTCTGCGTTCTTGTGCAAACGGCCAGACTTGTAGCTGACGCTAAACGAAAGTTCCTGGAGCCTAAGAGCTCAGCGACCCAGACGTCCAGTCGGGTCCTTCAGAGAAGTCAGCCAGTGGAGGGCGTGGTGGTCCGTAACGACTGATATTATGCGACCATATAAGTATGGTCAGAACTTGGCGGCGGTCCAAACTAAAGCTAAACACTCTCTCTTGGTGATGGAATAATTCTTCTCAGGGGTAGAAGGCAGGCGACAGGCGCAAGCTATCAGCACTGTCTGCCGTGGTGCCGCTGAGCGAGAACTGCGCCAATACCGTGGCCAGTGGCGTCAGTGCGAACTTCTATGGCAGCAGCAGGATTAAAGTGGGCAAGTATTGGGGGCGTAGTTAAGTAGCCGATGAGAGCAGTGAATGTTTGAGCCTGCTCAGGGCCCCATGAAAATGTAGTCTCCTTCTTCCGAAATTAGGTGGGTGGCCTGGCAACGTCGGCGAAGCTGTTCACAAAACGATTTAGGTAGGAACATAAGCTGACAAAGAAGGCAAAATAACTACCAATATGGATAGGATAGTTAAAATAGCGGAGGAGTTTTACAGATATCTGTACAGTAGTCGAGGCAACCACGACCTTAATACTATAAGAACTAGCAGTAACCCAGATTACACCCCACCAGTAATGATAGAAGAAGTCAGAAAAGCTTCGGAGAGCATGCAAAGAGGCAAAGCTGCTGGTGAGGATCAGGTAACATCAGATCTGCTTAAAGATGAAGGACAGATTGTGTTAGAAAAACTATCCACCCTGTTTACGAGGTGTCTTCTGACGGGAAGAGTACCAGAGTCTTGGAAGAACGCTAACATCATCTTAATACATAAGAAAGGAGATGACAAGGACTTGAAGAAATACAGGCCGATCAGCTTGCTCTCTGTAGTATACAAGCTATTTACAAAGGTAATTGCTAACAGAGTAAAGAAAACATTAGAATTCAATCAACCAAATGAACAAGCAGGATTTCGAACAGGCTACTCAACAATTGACCACATTCATACTATCAATCAGGTAATAGAGAAATGCTCAGAGTATAACCAACCACTATACATAGCATTCATAGATTACGAGATGGCGTTTGATTCAGTAGAAATATCAGCCGTCATGCAAACACTGCGGAATCAGGGCGTAGATGAAGTATATATAAACATTCTGGAAGAAATCTACAGGGGATCAACTGCTACCATAGTGCTTCATAAAGAAAGCAACAGAATACCAATCAAGAAGGGTGTAAGGCAGGGGGACACAATTTCCTCAATGCTATTTACCGCATGCTTACAGGAGGTTTTCAGAAGCCTAGAATGGGAACAGTTAGGGATAAGAATCAATGGAGAATACCTTAGTAACCTGCGCGTCGCCGATGACATCGCATTGCTGAGTAACTCAGGGGACGAATTGCAACTCATGATTACGGAGTTAGACAAGGAGAGCAGAAAGGTGGGTCTTAAAATTAATCTGCAGAAAACGAAAGTAATGTACAACAACCTCGGTAAGGAGCAGCGCTTCGAGATAGGTAATAGTGCACTTGAAGTTGTAAAAGACTATGTCTACTTAGGGCAGGTAATAACCGCAGAGCCGAACCACGAGATTGAAGTAACTAGAAGAATAAGAATGGGGTGGAGCACATTCGGCAAGCACTCTCAAATTATGACAGGTAGATTGCCACTATCCCTCAAGAGGAAGGTATATAACAGCTGTATCTTGCCGGTACTTAGCTACGGAGCAGAAACCTGGAGACTTACAAAGAGGGTTCAGCTTAAATTGAGGACGACGCAGCGAGCAATGGAAAGAAAAATGGTAGGTGTAACCTTAAGAGACAAGAAGAGAGCAGAATCGATTAGGGAGCAAACGGGGGTTAAGGATATCATAGCTGAAATCAAGAAGAAGAAATGGACATGGGCAGGGCATGTAACGCGTAGACAGGATAACCGCTGGTCATTAAGGGTAACTGACTGGATTCCCAGAGAAGGGAAGCGGGTTAGGGGGAGACAGAAGATTAGGTGGGCAGATGAGATTAAGAAGTTTGCGGGTATAAATTGGCAGCAGCAAGCACAGGACCGGGTTAACTGGCGAAACATGGGAGAGGCATTTGTCCTGCAGTGGACGTAGTCAGGCTGATGATGATGATAAGCCGATGAAGCTCCGGACGTCCGATGTAGAACGGG